TTTGAGACAGGGTCTCACTATGTAGTTGAGACTGACCTGGAACTCACTATGTAGCCCAGGCTGGTCTCGAACTCACAGCGATCCTCCTGCCTCAGCCTCCTGAGAGTACTGGGATTACAGGCATGCACCACCATGCCAGGCTCTCAACTCTTTCTCTTTAGGGTAAACATTCCAAATATTTTCTTCCCGCTCTGCTCTGCTCTTTGAAACTTAAGGCGCATCATCCTTACCTATGGTTACCCTTCTGTGCAGGAACACACTTGAACTTCTGGCTCCTATCAGCCATAGTTTAAAGTGGTAATGATTGCTTTCAGTGCAGGCCCCAGAGCCTTTGGGGGGTTGGGAAGCAAAGCACCTGGAATTTTGGCCCTGGGGTGCTGGCAGCAACAGCGGGTTTGTCACTTGCATTTACTCTGGCCTCTGCAGCTTGTAAATGAGCTGTGTGAACTCTTCCCTGGAAACTTGTGCAGCACCTTGGAGAGCTGTGAGCTGTACTGCTGTGTGAATCTCCCTGAGACTCCATTGTCTCCTCTCAGCCAAAGAGAGATGCTGCCTCAGAACATCTTTTGAAAAAGACTTTTGTGGGGAACCCCATGTTTGCCTGTAGCATTTTCTATGGTTCTTTGAATCGTGGCAACATAGTGAAGGTAGAAAATAACTTTCATTTTCCCTGGATTTGTTTCTTAATAATGAAATATCACTAGGCATGAACATACTTTAATTTTTTTGAGGAATTTGCCCTGGTGACCTGTGGGACAAATATCCCCACCAGAAACAGTGGCTGGCAATGACAGAGGCTCTTCCCACAGCTGCAGTGGGGGGTGGGAGGATATGTTCCCTCCAGACCGAGCGCAGGCATTGGCATCTCTGGGTAGAGGTAAATATGCGTCATTTCTAAAAGTTCCCAGGCGATTTCGATTCACCCACTTTTCCAGCTGTCCATTGCTTTGTCACTTCAGCCTCCACAGTGATGTTTCTCATGTTCTTCGAACAAGTAAACATTGACTAATGAAGAGTTTACAAAGGTATTTACTAACTCACAGCCCATGCCAATTCTCTTTGCAGGATACAGGGAACAGTATTTTGTTTTTTAAAAGAGTACAGAGTTATTGTTTTTAAAAATACCCCCTAGATTAAAGATAAGGCAGCGGTGTATGATAAAACTGTCAGTGTGTGATGGGCCTGCAGCTAGACTCATGTATTAGAAAGCTCGTGAATTGTGGGTTCTGGAATAATCCAGTCCCATTTCCAGAAAATTGAGCTAATTGTGCTTATTCATTGTATCACAACAAAGTTTTTTTCTTGAATGAAAACAGTGCTGTTGTACAGAAAGATGAATTGTACTGGTCTCTGCTTAGAGGGTTCCTATTCTAAATTAAACCCAATACTAACCCTAAGGGGATTGCATCATTGGAAAACACAACAAAACAAAGCAGATCAACCCTGATAATTCTTGCTCTCTTTTTGTTTTGCTTTCATTGTTATTTTTTCTTGGAATAGCAGTCTAAAACTTCTGTTTCGCTCTGTCACATAGCTCTAGGCCAGGCCCAGTCTCCTGTGGGCTTCGCTGACTTGGTCCCCTGGCCTGGTACGAGACTTCTGAGAGGGACCAGGGATTTAGCTCAGTAGCTCCTCCACCTGCCTTGCAAGTGCAAGGTCCTGAGTTCGATCCCTGGTATCAAAAAAAAAAAAAAAAAAAAACAAAAAAAGAAAAAAAAAAAAAAAAAAAAAAGAACTAAGAATCCACCATGATATGTGGCCTGAGGCCATGGGTGAATACTTCCCGTTTCCAAGCCTCCATTGCCTTAAATCAAAGTCAAGAGAGACTGATTCAGAAATAAAGAATTTAATAAAGAAATAATTGTGTGTGTGTTGATGCTGTAAATCTAAGCCATCCTTTAACTGTGGTAGGCAAGTTCTCTACCACTGAGCTACATCCCCATGGAGAAGTCAGATTTACAAAAATAAAAGGACCTTTCTAGAGCTATCTGTCAGTGGTTGTCATGTATATTTTTGTCCTTTCTCAGTTTTTCAGTGAAAGAACCCTGCTCCATTTCCGGTAAGGATTCAATGGCATCGTCCCTGATTTCACCCCACGCAAAAGCCACTTGGAAGCACACATCATGCCTGGAATACGGCAAGGAAAACTACTGGCTCCTAGCAACCCTTGTCCACTCCCTCACTCTGCGTCTGCATAAGAGGATGAGAGCTGGCAGAGGAACCTTACAGAGGTTTGGCAGAGACTGAGTAAGCAGCCGCCAGGCCTAGTCTTTTCCCTGCCCAAGACAGCTCCCTCCAGGGAACTGCTTTTCCCAGTATTATGCAAATTTGGATTGGAAGTTGCCTGTTGTCTCTGAAGTATTTAAATTGGGCATCAGGGAGCTGTGATTCCCTCATGTTGATTTGTAACAGCTGAGGCAGCCCCGACCCGCAGCTCAGAGCAAACTTTTTTTCTTCAGCAGCTGCTTTCCCAAGGCTTGGGACCAAGGAGTGAATGTGAGCACTAACTACCGACTCTGTGAGTTGGGAATTTTATTACCATGCTTTTTATGGGGTACTAAGTTTCTTTGTATCACACCACTCAGAGGTCTGGAGCAAAGGGACCACATGTTACTTGCTCTCAATCTGCAAGGGCTATGACTTCCATAGCACTGGGATAAACCAAGCAGTGGATTTAGGTCTGAGTCATGGATGAGCCACATAGAGGTTGGCCAGAACATAGACCAGGCAGCCTGCGCTTGGCTCTTCATAAGTGGGGGTCATAGCACATTAGAGGGTGTGGGAGTGGCAGGCTCAGGGTCTGTCTGTCCTTGTTTCTCCTTGCCTGCATAGGATGTCATAGCTATGCATATAGCATATAGCAGGAAGAAAGCCTACAAGAGCAGTAGAACAAAGCAAGGCCACTCCATCATCCTTGCCTCCTGGAGCCTGGAGGTCGGGGTGGAGGGTAGCCAGGGGCTGGGCTTCCATCCTGGCTTTCTAAACTTACCCGGTGGTGTCACTAGCCAACCTTGCTGCTGAAGCCTAGCTCAGGGCCCTGGAATGGCCTCTTGGGGCTTCCCTCTTACCCAGCCCTGACTCTTAGAGCCTTGCCTGGCTGCTATGGCAACAGGTTCCAAGGTGACAAAGGAGGGAGCTGAGTCAGACCATAGAAACTGAACTGCCCTGCACTCCCTGAATCTTTCTGTGTTCTCACTCCAGCAGAGTTCAGACTTCTGTCCCTGTCAGCAGGACCATGAGCCTGACCACTTGCGAGTGGAAAAAAGTGTTCTATGAGAAGATGGAGGTGGCAAAGCCAGCCGACAGCTGGGAGCTCATCGCGGACCCTAACCTCAAGGCCAGTGAGCTGGCTCCTGGCTGGAAGCAGTACGTGGAGCAGCATGCCTCCGGCAGGTGAGGGACCTGGGGCAGAGGACCCTGCGGGTAGCTGTGGGTCACAGCCATGGGGCACCTTGCAAGAAGAGACAGAATCTGGCTCTGTGTTCAGTCCTACTCTGTGTCAGCCCACAGAAGGCAGCAGAGAAAGGACAGCCAGGTGGGTCACAGAGGCCTTTGTTCTAAGCACAGCTATACCACAGACCCCCAGGGTGATTCTAGGAAGTGCTGTTCTCTCTTTGCTCTCCATACTCCACGTTAAATGAAGAGCAGTAGCATCTCTGAAGCCCCTTTGATCTCTGACATTTAAAGGGTGGTTAGAATGGACCATGGGGGCACCACTGGACCTCAGCCGAGGAGGTGGAAGGGTGGGTCCCGCTCTGGTCCTCAGTTTGTCCTTCAGTTAATTAAATGCAACTTGATTTGAATGCAGAGACAGCTACTAACCACACGTTATGTGCTAGGAACTAGCTTTATACCTATTTCTGTCAACTTTCCCTCTCTGGCTCTGAGCTTTTACATTTGCAAAATGAGGGGTTAGCTTTTGATAATCAGTGCAATCTCTTCCAACTATCTTATCTCTGAGTCAGTGACCTAATGTGTAGCTCTGGTCAAGACAACTCCTAGGTTCTTAGGCTCAGGGTCTCCTCTTGAAGGAGACATGTCCTTTCACAGCCTCATACCTCTTCACCTTTTAGTCTGATTGGGGATGGGGACCACAACATCCCTGGCCCAAACTGCCTTAGGCTCACACATAGGGTCAACACAGTCCAAGTCCTTGTATCTTGGATTCACGGGAAGCCAATGGGTTGGATATGTGGACAGAACTTGGACAGAGCCTCCCCTGTTGACACACATGTGCATGTGAAGCCCCTCATCACAGGAAGGTGCTGAGGGTGGGAAAGGGAGGCAGGCAGGCAGTGATGGCCAGTCCGCTGAGCCTGTCTTAACAAAATCCAATTCATATTCACCCAAGAAGCATCTGTTGGGCACCAGCCATGCACTGGACACTGGTGTGCTTCTGCCTAGGTGTGTGAACGTGATGGCTCTTTCCCTCTTAATGCTTCCTTCTCCTTTGAATAAAACAAGGGGTCACGAGCTGATTCTTAAAATCTCCCCTCACACAGGTCTGGTTGGAGGGAGGAGAAGCAGCTCTGGATTGGCTCATTTAGAAAAGTGCAGAGGAGACTGAACATGGGAAGCACCTCAGCTGCCTGGAGGAGGAGTTGCAAATGGCTGGGCCCAAGGGCAACAGGGCTTATGGCTCCTCTTGCTCCCGAGCTCATTTTAGCCCCAGCTGGCCTCACGGGGCTAGAGAGCTGCCGTCCCTCTGCACACTCCACCTTTAAGCCATTGGATGCATTAACCCTGGTGCTGTGCCTCAGGGCTCACCAGGGCCTCTGCCCTGCTAGTCTTGCCTGGGTGGTGCTGGGTCCTCTTCTGTGCACACACTGCAGTGGCTCTATAGGGCCAGGGGTGGCTTGGCTTCCTGTCTGTCCACAGCCTGGTCTGAGTAGCGCTTGGCATAAGGCAAAATGTGGAAGGCTTCCATGGGATCAGTCTAGTTCCTCATTAGAAGCCCTCTGAGGCCTGGAAAGAGCCAGTGAAGAAGGCACAGTCAGCCCCCCAGTGGACACTCAACTGCCTCGTTCGTTTGTGGTGGGGACCTGGAGGAAGTTCATCTGTGGGAAAGGCAGCAGGTGCTCCATCACTAAGTGAGAACAAGCACCAGGACAGGAAGGGTGAGCTCCGCTAAAGGAACCACAGGCCTCCTCCCTCCCTCTGGGCTTCCTGAGGCTGGGGCCCCAGGGCCAGGTTACACATAGGTGTGTGTGTGTGTGTGTGTGTGTGTGTGTGTGTGTGTGTGTGTGTGTTTGTGTGTGTGTGTGTGTGGTGTTCTGGTCTGCATTGCAGGGCTGGCGTGGGATCTTGGGATGACTTGTTAAGGGACAGGGGAGCACTCTTTGTGAAGCTGCATAGACCAATCTTTGCTGTCCCTCCCTGGGTCAGTCCGTCACCGCCGCTGGAGTTTATTGAGGACCTGCAGCTGCCAGTGCCTGTGCTTGGCATCTCTTCTGAGAGCAGGGCATCTGTGTGAGTCAGGCAGTGTGGTCCCCCCTCTTAAGAGAGTACAGCGGCAGGAGGTCTGAGAGGAGAGAAGGACTTCTACGGGACCCTGCCACACTACACTCCACAGACAGGCAGTGAGGTTGGAGGAGCGCTGATGTGCGTGGTGCAGGCCGCATGCCCCGAGTGCAGGAACCTGGGTCTGCAGCGGGGGTTACAGGAGGCTGGGGCACAGCATGCTGGATGCAGGAGGGCTCCAGTAGGAGGCTGTAAGGATGGTGCCCTGGCCCCAAGGGTATTCACTGGGAGGGGGCTGCAGCTGGGGGCTTCAGAATCCTAATGAACCCATAGGGCAGTAAACACAGGCCCTCCTGCCTGGGCTCTCCAGGGGGAATCGCTGGGGGCCACTCTCTCCAGTCCTTCTCCACCCCGCAGGTTCCACTGCTCCTGGTGCTGGCACACCTGGCAGTCGGCCAACGTGGTCATCCTCTTCCACATGTACCTGGACCCTGCCCTGAGGATCGGCTCAGTGCGCATGCGCGTCTTCAAGCAGCTGTGCTACGAGTGCGGCTCGGCGCGGCTGGACGAGGCGAGCATGCTGGAGGAGAACATCGAGAGCCTGGTGGACAACCTCATCAGCAGCCTGCGCGAGCAGTGCTACGGGGAGGACGGCGGCCAGTACCGCATCCACGTGGCCAGCCGCCCAGACCGCGGGCCACACCGCGGCGAGTTCTGCGAGGCCTGCCAGGAAGGCATCGTGCACTGGAAGCCCAGCGAGAAGCTGCTGGAGGAGGAGGCCGACGCGTCCAAGCAGAAGGCTCGGTTGGGCTACAACTTCTTCTCGTTTCGCTGGTGCATCTTGTGGGGCGCCCTGTGCCTGCTCTTGGCCTACCTGCAGTTCTCCTTCCGCAGCCCCACTTTCCTTTAGGGGGTGGCGCTCGGGGCTGGGGCTGGGACTGGGGCGGGGTGGCGGGGTGGAGAGCAGGGAGGACACAGTGTGGTCCTGATGCTGTTGGAGTCAGGCTAGGGCCCGGGACGCTCAGCCAGCTCTCCTGACCTCGGATTGGGCCTCTGTAGAGGGAGAGGCCGGCCGCACTGAATAGTCCCTGGAGTAACTGTGCAGTAATGGGAGGAAGGGACGGAATGAGGAAAGGAGGCTCGGAACCTGCGAGTCGGGCATTAGTAGGAAGTGCACGGGCGGCACCCTTCTTCCTTCCCTCCCTCCTCTTCCGCCCCTAGCCCTCCTTTTGCTTTATTTCGCTATCCTCTGCCCTATCACAAGTTAATATTTGGTTAGGCGCCGCCTGGCCCTGACTCGGGCGCACCTTCTCTGTGTGTCCTGCCCCGGACGTCTTTGGCACCCAGGGCACAGGGGCAAATTCACCTGGTCTCGCTCAGGGGGAGTCTGCCCCCACCATGCTGAGGTGCTCTGGGTTTTACTCTGGTGTCAGGGCTTGCTCGGCTGGGATTGTCCGGAGCCGTACTGTCTAATACATTTGCCCCCGGCCATATGTGGCTATTTCCAATTCGATTCATTAAAATGAAATCAAACAGGAGATTCAGCTTCTCAGGGATGCCAGGCGCATCCCGGCTCACGCAGAGTGCATGCCCCACGGGGCCATTGCTCAACTGCAGTGGCGGCTGGGGAGAAGAGTGGAGGAGTCCGGAAAGGCTCTCGAGGCCTCCAGAGGTCTGTCTGCCCTTTGGATCCGCCACTCTGGGGTCTCAAGGCCATACGAAGGGACAGGACTGCGACGAAGCGCTGCCAAACAGCGTCTCTTACCGAAGTCGTGGGTCTGGGGCCAGACTGCCAGGTCTATGCCCTGAGGGAAGTGAGTGACTTATCCTGGAAGCTGGGGGAGCAGCGGTGAGGCTGTGAGTGGAGAGGGGAAGAGGCGCAGGACATGGGCCCCGGAGGAAGGGGGCTGAGTAAGTGAGGAGGGGTGGGGGCTGAGGAAACTTCCGGAAGAGAACACGTCTGCTTCTTCTCTGTCAGCTTCTCTGTGTCTTTCTCGTAGTTATCTAGAAAGACCCTTTGCTGGCTCCATATTGTCCTCTAACGATTGCTATGTGATTGAAACAAAAATTCAAAGTCAAGTTTCTTAGAGAGGAGTAGATTACATTTATCTCCATCTCTTATTCCTCCCTTAATCCATGGAAATTGCATTTCTGTGTTTTCAAAGTTACCACCCCAATCCCCGTTGCCCGACCGTTGGCTATTTTTCTGTGCCGTGATGTTGTCTGCTGCATTTCATACTCCGCAAGGAATCCAGGATAGCACCTGCTTCTCTGTCTTGGGCTTCTCTTCCCTCTGCACCTTCACCTCGCCTCGTGCGTTGTGAGCTCAAGGTTTCTGGGATTCTCTTCTTGCTTTGCTCATCTTCCCTCGGGAACATACCCACAGACACCCTAGGTTTTCATTGCCCGGAAGCTCCTGGTCTTCACAGCTCTGCAAAGCACTCACACTGAGCCCTTTGAACAGGCCGCCGAAGGGCCTCTCAAAAGCACCGTGGCCGAAGTGGCCCTCCTCAAGTGGCCACTGTACCTGCCATCGGTTTCTCAGTGATCCAGGTGTCATCCTCTGACCCCCCTTCACCGCCCCATCCTCCTCTGCACTAGTCTGTCACGATGTTCCATGACCCATCTATGTTCCTCCCAACTACCTCAGGGATAGAGCTCCTTTTTTCCATTCCCACGCTCTACTGCCCAGACTTGCTCATTTGGAGTCTCTTGTTCCCTACTGAGCTTCAGATTTGTAGTCTCTCCCCTTCCAATGCCCCTCTGCTACTGGTCAGGGGTATGATTTTGTAATCACACAATATGATCAGTACATTCCCCTAGTTAGACTCCTCTGTGCTCCCTCCTGCTCAGGGATGAAATATAGCCTCATGAGCCAGGAATACCTCATTTCCCAGATCAGAATAGTATGTTGCATTCATTGAGAAGGAGCTCCATCAACGTTCGCTATTATAATCTGTTACTACTTGTGATGCTTCCCTAAACACTATCTGTGCCTTGTCTCACTTAATACTGGAAGTAACCCTTTGAGGAAGGTAGCATTGTTATCCCTACTCTGTTGTCAATGCTTAGAGAGGTTGAGAAACTGCTTCACAATGACCCAGGTAATGAGTCACGGTGAGGTAAAAATCAAGACAATCTCTGACTCTAGAGCTCACATTCTCAGTCACTGTGCTGTACCGGCCCTGGGATCAAGTCCTATGTTCTTCCCATTCTGTTGTGCTCCAGCTGCTTTTGCAAAGCTTCAGCTGGCTTTCAAAGGTTTTCCTTTGGCCTTAGCTTGAGCGTGAGCTCCCTGGTGACACTGTCCTTCAGAGCACATGTTAGGAGCTCACCACCTCTGCTGCTGTCCTTTCCTTGTCGTACCACCCGTGCTTGTGTGCATGGGTCTGCCTGTCATTGTCAGCTGCTATTCATTTTTCCATCCCTGACACAGAACAACTGTTTAATCAAAATGGTTCACTGGCTACATTCTTTTTTTTTTTTTCCTCATTGAGTTTATTGGTACATTTTAGGTATACAGGACAGTTACATTTATCATTGGGACCTTATACCTTTACACGACAGGTCGTAGTTCTCATTTTTTTCCCCTTGTCCCTGCCCTCCCTTCACCCCTCCTCCCTCCCCCCACAAACACTTCATTTCCATTTTTTCATTTTCTCATATTTTTTTCTTTCCCCTTATTAGCTTTCCCCTACCCTTCCCACTTTCCTTACGCTGTTAGCCCCTTCCTATTTCACATTGTCCATTATATCATTAGGATGTTATGTACTACTATAGTTTATTTACACCAGAGAAACTATTTGGTATTTACACATGTGTGACTTATTTATTTCACTTAGGAGTTTATCCTCAATATGTATCCATTTTCCTATGAATGAATCTAATTTCTCATTCTTTATGGCTGAGTAATATTCCATTTTATAGAAAAACCACAACTTCTTTCACTGGCTACATTCTTGCCACACACCACTTTACCTCAAGATCCTGTACATTTCATGTACTGAGTCCCCCAGTTTGGAGGAGATCTTGATTTTTTTTTCTACTTAATAACCCACTGCAGCCAGGCATAGTGAGGCACAGTTGTAATCCCAGCACTTGGGAGATGGAGGCAGGAGGAAGACTTTGAGTTCAAGACCAGCCTGGACAACACAGTGAGACCCTGTCTCAAAAACCCAAAATATAGTAATGGTAGTAGTAGTAGTAGTAGCAGTAGTAGTACTAACCCATTTCTTAGATACTGCCATGAGTAACATTGATAGACAGGAAAGGAGGAGCCCAGACTGCCCAATAATAAAGAATTAAGACAGAGGTACATGACAAATACTGAAAATCAGTTCAGATACTAGGCGAGAACCAGAGCATAGAGTTAATTTACCAACATTTCAAGGACAGCTGAATTTAATGTCTGAAGACAGCGAGGGAGTTGGGATTCTAGAAAACTAGAAATAGAGATGTCTGAGACACATGTGAAAATGGCCTGTCAGAAGAGGTTGTAAGAAGTTTGTAATACTGGATGTTAGATGAACTCACCGTAAATGTACCTTTGTTGCTGGAAAATGGAATGAATATTTGTGCCAGTGTGATCTGCTTGTATTTCTGTATATATCCTGTAACCATCTCTGTGTGGTAGGTTTTCAAAGAAGGTACTATTTTGAAAACACCCTTGTGTGTCTTTGTGCTGATTTCACAGCATGGAGCGAGTAAGTGTGGTGTTCTCTGATTGCTCATTGACTGTGGTTTGTACAGTACCTGATGAAAAGGAAAGTAAGGCGCGGAGGGGTGCTGTGCTGGGACTCCAGAAATCTGAGTTCCAGTCTCACAATCTGATGCAATGAGTCAGGACAAACCATTACCACGCTTGGAAAAGCAGGGTATGGTGTATGTTCTGGGGAATGCAACTGTCTTATTTTCATTTTCATCCACAATTCAAGATTTATATACCCTGCTATGTTTTATTCTTAGCCTTTTCTAGTTTCAGGATCCAAAATGTAATTAGAAATAGCCCCTGATGGGCAGGTGCGGGTGGTGAGCAGGGGGGAATTCGAAGTGTGTTAATCAGTGCAGTGCTAGGGAAAGAGAAAAGCTGAGTCTGACTTGGGGACTGGTGTTAGGCATGGTTTTTTGAGAAAGGTCCAGAAGGCACGTTCTGAAAGATGTAGAAGTAGGTCTGGAAGGCATTGACAGGGAATGATGTGCATCCCAGAACAAGTGAAGAAAAAGGAGGACATAGAGGCAAAACCCGTTTTAAGTTCAAGAAGCAGGAAGTGACCAAGCACCAGAAGAAGGCAGGAGATGGAGTTAGAGGAAGGGCTTTGAGAGTCTGGGAGTGTTGGCTAGAAATAGAGCCAAAGAAAAAAAGTAAGCTGGGTTTGGGTGAAAACAACTTCCTTAGCTTAAGTAAGGGGTAAAATTGTACGGTTTGCAGGGCGAATTTTGATTTATAATCGATTTTTATTATTTTAATAATTTTTCTTTAAAAACAAAAAGCACCAAACAACTATACCCTCATTCCTTCTACAGACATTTTAACGCCTGTGTGCCATGCAGTAGGCAGTACATATGCACAGAAGGAAGCATTCGGTTCTTCCTCTCATCCCCTCCTCTCTCCATTCATCTTTGTACTTCACTCAAGCAGCTGAGAGTAGCCTCAGTTCTCATGTTTAAGTACAGGAAAAAACCATCTCTTCAAGTGCACAGTAATTCGAGCTGCAAATAATAAAGCTAATAACTTTAGTCAAATACCACAGAAAGTTTTATTTTATGTCATGGTGAAAATTAGGTCAGTTAACTAACACTCAGTACAACGAGGCAGTTGTTTACGTATGTTAAATTCAACCAGAAAACCTTATATGTGACTTTCCTTTCTTTGTGTAATAAAAAATGAATTAATTCTTTAAGGATTCAAATGCACACATCGGTATATATTCATACATATTATATATATAGTAGGTTCTTTAAGAAACATGCAATGTTCCAAA